TTCGTGGTCTTATGCTGCCATCTATTGAAAATATTTAGCAATTCAAAGTTAATAATTCACATAAAGACATTGGTGAGGCAGCTGAGAAATGAAGTGTATTTTTCTTATTAATTCCTGAGATCAGTCTCAAACCTGCCCCACCTATCCCAGCCAATTGCTGGACTTTCACATATACAGTGGGGAGAACAAGTATTTGATACACTGCCGATTTTGCAGGTTTTCCTACTTACAAAACATGTAGAGGTCTGTAATTTTTATCATAGGTACACTTCAACTGTGAGAGACGGAATCTAAAACAAAAATCCAGAATATCACATTGTATGACTTTTAAGTAATTAATTTGCATTTTATTGCATGACATAAGTAATTGATACATCAGAAAAGCAGAACTTAATATTTGGTACAGAAACCTTTGTTTGCAATTACAGAGATCATAAGTTTCCTTTAGGTCTTGACCAGGTTTGCACACACTGCAGCAGGGATTTTGGCCCACTCCTCCATACAGACCTTCTCCAGATCCTTCAGGTTTCGGGGCTGTTGCTGGGCAATACGGACTTTCAGCTCCCTCCAAGATTTTCTATTGGGTTCAGGTCTGGAGACTGGCAAGGCCACTCCAGGACCTTGAGATGCTTCTTACGGAGCCACTCCTTAGTTGCCCTGGCTGTGTGTTTTGGGTCGTTGTCATGCTGGAAGACCCAGCCACGACCCATCTTCAATGCTCTTACTGAGGGAAGGAGGTTGTTGGCCAAGATCTCGCGATATATGGCCCCATCCATCCTCCCCTCAATACGGTGCAGTTGTCCTGTCCCCTTTGCAGAAAAGCATCCCCAAAGAATGATGTTTCCACCTCCATGCTTCACGGTTGGGATGGTGTTCTTGGGGTTGTACTCATCCTTCTTCTTCCTCCAAACACGGCGAATGGAGTTTAGACCAAAAAGCTCTATTTTTGTCTCATCAGACCACATGACTTTCTCCCATTCCTCCTCTGGATCATCCAGATGGTCATTGGCAAACTTCAGACGGGCCTGGACATGCGCTGGCTTGAGCAGGGGGACCTTGCGTGCGCTGCAGGATTTTAATCCATGACGGCATAGTGTGTTACTAATGGTTTTCTTTGAGACTGTGGTCCCAGCTCTCTTCAGGTCATTGACCAGGTCCTGTCGTGTAGTTCTGGGCTGATCCCTCACCTTCCTCATGATCATTGATGCCCCACTAGGTGAGATCTTGCATGGACCAAGCTGCTTGCCTATTGTCCTGTAGCCCATCCCAGCCTTTTGCAGGTCTACAATTGTATCCCTGATGTCCTTACACAGCTCTCTGTTCTTGGCCATTGTGGAGAGGTTGGAGTCTGTTTGATTGAGTGTGTGGACAGGTGTCTTTTATACAGGTAACGAGTTCAAACAGGTGCAGTTAATACAGGTAATGAGTGGAGAACAGGAGGGCTTCTTAAAGAAAAACAAACAGGTCTGTGAGAGCCGGAATTCTTACTGGTTGGTAGGTGATCAAATACTTATGTCATGCAATAAAATAAAAAAATTAATTACTTAAAAATCATACAATGTGATTTTCTGGATTGTTGTTTTAGATTCCGTCTCTCGCAGTTGAAATGTACCTATGATTAAAATTACAGACCTCTACATTCTTTGTAAGTAGGAAAACCTGCAAAATCTGCAGTGTATCAAATACTTGTTCTCCCCACTGTAAGTGACTAGGTCACACCCAATTCAAACCACATTTGAAAAATAAAATGTGGCTTGTTTATCAAGTGTTCTGCCTTGCAATAATAAATATAATAAAATAACTAATAACAAAAAGAAAATGCTTACATATGTTTTGATTTTAAAAAAGAACAATCAAAATGCTATTTAGTACTATTATGGTATTTACTAACATAATATTATTATTATTATTTTTATTTATTTTATTTTACAAAAATAGTTTCTAAAAGTGTTCTAGGCTACCCTACCCAAGAATTAGGGTAAAGGCTAAAACAGGTTGTAACTATTGTTAGGGGTTAGGGCTAAAATAGGTTATTCCTAGGGTTATGGTTAGGGTTGCCATTAGGGTTAGAAAAATTGTGACCATTACAGATATAGGTGCATTGTGTTACCAGTTAGGGTTAGAATTATGGTGACCATTAAAGCTATAGGTGCATTGTGTTACCAGTCAGGGTTAGGGTTAGGGTTTCCATTACAGCTGTAGGTGCATTGTGTACCAGTCAGGGTTAGGTTTAGAATTAGGGTTAGGGTGACTATTACAGCTATAGGTGCATTGTATTACCTCTCAGGGTTAGGGTTAGGGTTACGGTTAGGGTTACCATTACAGCTGTAAGTGCATTGTGTTACAAGTCAGGGTTAGGGTTAAGGCTGAAATAGGTTATACGTAGGTTTAGGGTTTTTAAGGCAAAAAACGGTATGGGTTTATAGCTCGCTTGCTCCTCCCTGTGGCCTTCTCTGGGTACTACATAACTCATTTGTGACACTTGCTATGCTCATAATCTGAGGTGTCAGATCTAGAAATCAATGAGCTAGACCTATCCATTTGGTTTGCAACTCAGTGAACCTGCGCAGCATTCACTCAATTCGATGCCTACGAACAAACAGATTTCGATGCATATCAAATTACCCAGCAGCCATTTAGAAACAACAAATCATCAATTAAAAAGGTTATTTCTTAAATAAAAAATGCCTTTTGGCTGTTTAAATCGGCCACATCTTGAAAAAGAGGACAGGGACATGCGTTTGGTTCAGGTTTACACCTTTTTCTGAAAAAAATAAGATGGTTAACCATGACCAGAAAATGTTTAACGTTTGATGGCTATGCACCAGCCATCGTTAGCACTGTGGGTCACAACAACCTGTACCCAGGTGAACAGTGAGCTTGCTCAGCAAATAGCTGTAACCTTGTTAATAATACACTACCTGAGGTAAGCCTCAGAGTTCAATGTGGGCAGGTCTCATTGCCAACAATAGCGAAGCAGGCATTGTGACGTAGAACAATGGGCTGGGAATAGAACATCCTGAAGGCGAGTTGGTGCCACAGTGCTCAATATAACTAATAGGATCTGGCAGGGTGAGAAATTCCCTAAAATAAGGCCTGTTGTTTCGCAATTACTTCAAAATGACCGCAAGCAGCTGGGACATATGGTAATATTATGAAACTGGGCTCCATGGCGGATGCAATTAACTTGTTTTCATCAGAAAAAAGCGTTATTAAAATTTAGCCTACTTTAGCTGGCTAAAATGTGCCCAGATTCGGAAGCTTTGTTAGCTAACGCAATCTAACTAAACTGATGTGAGCTATCTAGCTAGTTTGCAAGCTAGCTAACTAGTAGTTTCCGAATCTGGGCTCATTTTAATCAGCTAACGTTAGTCTAGCCAAATAACTTTTCTCTAAACACCCCTGATCAAGATAGATAGCTAATGTTAGCTTTCAAATTTTAGCTAACACCCACTAGCTTAGCTAGTTAGCTAGCCAAGTTATTCCTTGTGTTAGTTGATAAAGTTGTTCTTCTTACCTAGCTAATTATTGTAGACTTAAGGTATTGACGTAGCCTACTAGCTAGATCAATTAACATAGTTTTTTCTCATTTTAATATAAAATGGTGGTCACAAACTCTCACTTAACTAATGTTGTTTATAGCTTTCAAATGAGGATCCTATAACTTAACTATTTGGGGATGGTAGTTATCTAGCTAAGTAACTAATGTCTTTCTCTTTCCTTTTCTTATTATTTCAGCGAAAGCATGTACACCATCTTAAGAAGTATGGAGAACTGACAGCAAACATACTGAAGAGAAAATATACCCTGAGACTCTCTCCACCATCCAGCAGAGCACATTACTGAAGACAGTGTCTCAAAAATCCATTGACAAAGCTGTGGTGAAGTATGTGGTCCAAGGGATCCAACCATTCGCTGTTGTAGAACAAGAACTGTTCAGAGAGTTTGTCGAGGATCTGCAGCCTAACTCAAAGATCATATCAAGGCCCACACTGCGCTCCAGGATTGATGAAGCCTCCAAGGAAATGAAGAAGAAGGTGACAGAGAGGAGTTGACCACATCGCCACCACCACCGACTGCTGGTCTGCAAGAAGATGTTACAGCCTATTGGATAGACCCTGACAGTCTCAACAGATGCTCTGCAGCCCTGACCTTTGATGTGTTGGCAGGCGCCTTAAATGACATCCATTCTGAGTTCAAAATTCGGTTTAAGATTGTGAGAACAACAACAGACAATGACTCTAACTTATTGAAAGCTTTCCAAGTTTTTGGAGAAGATGAAAACAACGAGGCAATCAACGCAGTGGGTGGTGGTGGTGAAACAGTTCAGCCAGGACAGGAAGATGGTGAAGAGGAACAAGAGGAAAGTGAAGATGTGGAGTTTGTTGATGTGGCAACGATCCTGAATGAAGATGATGGTTTCGAGTACCAGCTGCCGAAGCACCAGCACTGTGCTTGCCACCTACTCAACTTAGAATCTACAGTTGATGCCCTGAAAGCAACATCCAGTGAGGCTTACAAAAAATTGTCCCGTTCAACATTTGGCAAGTGCCAAGCACTTTGGAACAAATGCGGAAGATCCACATTTGCAGCCAAAACGGTTGAAGATGCTTGCACCCTCCAGCTACTGCGCCTGAATGCTACAAGGTGGAACTCCTGGTTCATGGCTGTAGAAAGACTCCTGAGGATAATCAAAGACAAAGGAAAGGCGGCCGTAAAAGTTATCTGCACAGACTTCGAGGTTCCAATGTAAGTAAGGTTATGTATTATTTTGTCATAATTTAATGTCTTGAATGTTGTAGTGTTTCCTGACCCTTTGCTTGGCGACTAATAACTGTTTCACATATTGTAGCCATATACTATCATTGATCCATTTAGTCAACTACTCATCCAGCCATTGATTACTGTAGTTAAATCAGGTGAAATGGTTAGTGGTCCCCTTTGTATAGTGTTAGGAAACACAGTATTATTATAAAGAAATGTATATATTTTTTTCACAGGTTCAATGCAGCTGAACTCACCTTCCTCAGAGTATGCTGCCACCATGAGCCCAGTCGCAAAGGCCATCAACATCCTGCAGGCTGAAACCAATGTCCAGATGGGGTGCCTACTTCCAAATATCAACCTGCTGATCACAAAACTTGACCGAATCAAGTTGTCCCTGAAGTACTATACCTCTGGTGGATGCACTACAACTGGGACTGAAGAAGCACTTCAGACACATGTTTCAAGACCCTGAGCTGATCGCAGCTGCAAACCTTCTGCCCAAATTCAAAACAACGTGGACAAAGGATGACGCCGCCATCACAATGGGTAAGACAACGTGGTTAATTAACAACATTGTATTATTCATAAACAACTGTGTATAGTGTACATTTTGACATTTCATAGATTTGAGAACCACCCATTTAAACTACAATCCTGACTTTGTGGTTCAGTCCTGTTGCTTGATTTATATAGATGGGGGATGGGGATGGATGAATGTAGGCTCACAAAAAACAAAACTGCATGATTTATATTGTCATCTCCCTTGTATTTCAGGAATGGACTACATCAAGGACCATCTGGAAGAACAATTGCAGCAGCTAGGTGATGGCACCAGTTTATCAGACGAGGAGGACTTCTCTGCCATGAAGACGTCTCAAGCACAAGAAATCTCCAAACAGCTGGACGTATACCTGGCCTGTTCAGCTGATCATATGGAGTTGCTCAAGTCCTTCCCAGCAGTCTGTAAGCTGTCTCTGAGGCTAAACACACCCTTTCACAGGTAGCTGAGGCAGGTAAGGCTGTTCAGCATTGCAGGACTTGTTTTCAGCCCCAGGAGAGAAAGGCTAGGTTTCAGAAACGTTGAAAATCAGATTTTACTGAAGATGAACCGCAAATTCTTCAACTTCAAGTAATGACAGCTTAACGCTAGCAGCCCAAGGACAGGGATGCTTTATGTGTTTTGTAAATGTATGTTTACAATTCACAAGTTATAGGTGTCCTTGTTACAAAGGTATGACCTGACACACTGATTTCTAATACAGTTCCATCAGTGGTGATGTCCTCATAGTCCTACAGTGAGGTTGTGTGCAGTTCTGTACATGTACTTTTGATGAGCTCATCATCTACATTTTTTTTGTAATATATAGGGTTCTATTATAGGAGTTTTTTTCTAAAGCAACGTGATTGTAAGTGCTTACGTTTACTGGCTATATTCCTTCATTAAGCCATAATTCTATTTAGTCTGTAAGAGATGTATTTTGAAGTGTTACCTATTTGAGAATCCACATTTTTTTTTTTTTTATCTGAGCAATTCTTGCATCCTTAAGATTGTTACCTTTCAGAAAAACTCAAGCTCAAACCAAATAAAAGGTATGGCTGTTGGATTTACGGCTCTTACTTTTCATACTTTTACTTTTGATACTTAGGTACATTTACCTTACGGCTATTACTTTTGATACTTAAGTACATTTAATATCAGGTACTTTAAGACTTTTACTCAAGTAGTATTATAATGGGTGACTTTCATTTTTACTTGAGTAATTTTCCAGTAAGGTAACTTTACTTTTACTCAAGTATGGCTTTTTGGGTACTTTTTCCACCACTGCTGTCAATACACAACTGTAAAGACACAGCGTGGTTCTGTAATGCATTAGGATTCAGGAATCGCCCTGAAAGGCATCATCCATCGTTCAAAATGGGAAAACTCCATATGGAAGGTCCTGATTGTGTACTGACTTCTAAGACCGCGTACATAACAGGCAAAGCTCAGCAGAGGCTTTCCTCAAGGTTTTTGCTATGATAGTTAATACATAATTATTACAAGTCTTGTTACATTGCTGGTTTGGTGTTCTGATAACTATATGTCTATCTGCACTTTCTGATTTGTTTATTTTGTTTTGCTTAGTCCTGCTTATGCCACTGCTCATTGAGTGCTCTATTGCTCTAAACTAACTTCCTGTTCAGAGCTCATTCCCACTACAAGCAATCCGAAGAACAGCAACATACAGATGAGCTTCATCTTTCTTACTTACTAGGCCTTGGATAAAGATAAGTCTGTAAGTAGGCACCTTTTGTTTTTGAGTCATTAGTACATGCTTTCATTAATTCAAGCTGGTCTTTCTAGAAGATTTAGGTTTTTACATGTTTATTTTAGCCTTTAGGTTGAGCTCATGATGATGCTAAGCTAATGTGTTCTAACTAATCGCCATAGAGTGGGTGTTAGCATGCTAGCTATCTTTCTGACATGCAACTTAGCTTCCTTTACTTTATAATGTATCTAGCTAATGTGAGTGGCTAGATATCTTTATATTACAAGATGATACCATTGTAATTATGTTGTATGTACACATAATATGTGTATCGCTGTTTTAGTCATTTTGTGGCACTTTTCCAGTCAGGTAAATTGTCATCCATTCTGCAATGTCATGTTGGCTAGCTAGGCCTATTGTATTGCTAGCTCGTAATGGTTCATGCATGGAGTCAGGCTATTCTGTATGTGTATGCATTTATGTGTGAATGTGTGCAGATCATTTTCTAAGAATATTTTATTTATTCTGTACTTTACAGTTTTACGAAAAGTAATATCTCACTAAAGATTCAAAACGGTACTCTTGCCTCCGGGGTCTTTATTGGGAGTTGTAAGCTGTCTGCCAAGCTTTATACTTACACATATTGTGAGACCAGAACAGTTATAATTTATTTAGATGTGACAGGATAAAAAAACGCGGAGAAGTTGCCATCTATGTTAAATCTATTCTCGTGGTGTCTCAATCTCTTAATATTTCTGTTCCTAAGCAATTTGAGCTCCTTGTAATAGATGTTTCCATTAATCAGAATTCTTTGTTGCTGGAATCTACCGCCCCCCTGCTGCCACGACGGGTGCTGTTAATGCTATATCTGAATTCTTAACCCCTTTTCTGTCCTCAGAGCTGGCTATCTTGGGGGATTTGAATCTTGACTGGCTATCCCCGGCCTCAGATAATTTAAAGAGTATTTGCATTGATTTTAACCTGACACAATTGATCTCCAAACCCACATGGCTTAATGTGAAAATCTCTGCAAATTCTTCTTTGATTGATGTAATTCTTACTAATAACCCCCATCAATATTTGTCTAGTGGGGTCTTTATTTATGATCTCAGTGATCACTGCCCTATAGTGTGTATTAGAGATACTAAGCAACAAAAGTCTGATCCTCATCTAATAAAGAAGACTAATTAAAAATTGTTTTTACATGACTTGTTTCAATTTGAGTTATCCAGTGCCTCCTGTTTTCCTGACCTGTCTATCTTTATTCCTGTGGCAGATAAACACGCACCTTTTTATCAATTTAGAGTCAAGAACAGATTGAACCCTTCATATTCCAAAGATTTTTCTGAGTTTATTCAGGTGAGGAAACAGGTCTGGGCCAAAGCAAGGAGAACTGACTGTATCAGATTGGCAATCTTTTGAGAAGAATGGTGGTTTAAACAACCATGGTCAGTCAGTTTGCTGCTCTTCCCGCTCCCAGCCTCTAGCTGACTTGAATGATAAACAGTCAACTACTAATGAATCTGTGTTTTAATTTCAACAATTTACTACCTGTGATGTGCTAAATGCCTTGTTTAAGATACATTTTACAAAAAAAATCTACTGGGGTTGACATGCTTCACCCATTTTTACGGCAGCTCTCCGCCCCTTTGATTGCTGAATCATCAACCCATATGTTTATGTGACGATCATATCTGGTACTTTCTTGCCTGGCAAAAATATTAGTAATTGATCAATTCTCGGCTAAGATCTTTCTGAATGTTCATCAGTGTGGCTTTAGACCAGGTAATAGCACTATCTCTGCTGCCTCACTGGTTATAAATATTGTGGTTAATTGTATGGACAAAAGGCAACATTGTGCTGCCCTTTTCATTGACCTGTCTAAGGCCTTTTTTAAATTGGTACTTTTTACCCCTTTTTCGTGATATCCAATTGGTAGTTACAGTCTTGTCCCGTCGCTGCAACTCCCGTACGCCATGTGTCCTGTGAAACACGACCCCGCCAAGCCGCACTGCTTCTTGACACACTGCTCGCTTAACCCGGAAACCAGCTGCACCAATGTGTCGGAGGAAACACCGTACAGCTGGCAACCAAAGTCAGCGTGCATGCGCCCGGCCACAACAAGGAGTCGCTAGAGCGCAATGGGACAAGGACATCCCAGCCGGCCAAACCCTCCCCTAACCCGGACGATGCTGGGCCAATTGTGCACCGCCTCATGGGTCTCCCGGTCGCGGCCGGCAGCGTCACAGCCCGGAATCAAACCCGGATCTGTAGTGACACCTCTAGCACTGCGATGCATTGCCTTAGTCAAAGTAAATAGTCCTGGTGGCCATTTAATTAAAGGTTCAGCAGTCTTGTGGCTTGAGGGTTAGTATTGAATGCGGGTAAAATAAAGTATGTTGTTTTTTAGGGTGCACAATAATACAATGTTTTATTTATTAGGATCCCCATTAGCTGACGCCAATAGACAGTCTTACTGGGGTCCGACATATAACGAAAGAGACATTACAGACAAAATACTTTACAATTTAGCATTAACATGTAGTGTGTGTGCATCTATCAGGTACACATACAGTGGGGGAAAAAAGTATTTAGTCAGCCACCAATTGTGCAAGTTCTCCCACTTAAAAAGATGAGAGAGGCCTATAATTTTCATCATAGGTACACGTCAACTATGACAGACAAATTGAGAATCTTTTTTCCAGAAAATCACATTGTAGGATTTTTTTATGAATTTATTTGCAAATTATGGTGGAAAATAAGTATTTGGTCACCTTCAAACAAGCAAGATTTCTGGCTCTCACAGACCTGTAACTTCTTCTTTAAGAGGCTCCTCTGTCCTTCACTCGTTACCTGTATTAATGGCACCTGTTTGAACTTGTTATCAGTATAAAAGACACCTGTCCACAACCTCAAACAGTCACACTCCAAACTCCACTATGGCCAAGACCAAAGAGCTGTCAAAGGACACCAGAAACAAAATTGTAGACCTGCACTAGGCTGGGAAGACTGAATCTGCAATAGGTAAGCAGCTTGGTTTGAAAAAATCAACTGTGGGAGCAATTATTAGGAAATGGAAGACATACAAGACCACTGATAATCTCCCTCGATCTGGGGCTCCACGCAAGATCTCACCCCGTGGGGTCAAAATGATCACAAGAACGGTGAGCAAAAATCCCAGAACCACACGGGGGGACCTAGTGAATGACCTGCAGAGACCTGGGACCAAAGTCTACCATCAGTAACACACTACGCCGCCAGGGACTCAAATCCTGCAGTGCCAGACGTGTCCCCCTGCTTAAGCCAGTACATGTCCAGGCCCGTCTGAAGTTTGCTAGAGTACATTTGGATGATCAAGAAGAGGATTGGGAGAATGTTGTATGGTCAGATGAAACCAAAATAGAACTTTTTGGTAAAAACTCAACTTGTCGTGTTTGGAGGACAAAGAATGCTGAGTTGCATCCAAAGAACACCATACCTACTGTGAAGCATGGGGGTGGAGACATCATGCTTTGGGGCTGTTTTTCTGCAAAGGGACCAGGACGACTGATCCGTGTAAAGGAAAGAATTTATGGGGCCATGTATCGTGAGATTTTGAGTGAAAACCTCCTTCCATCAGCAAGGGCATTGAAGATAAAACGTGGCTGGGTCTTTCAGCATGACAATGATCCCAAACACACCGCCCGGGCAACGAAGAAGTGACTTCGTAAGAAGCATTTCAAGGTACTGGAGTGGCCTAGCCAGTCTCCAGATCTCAACCCCATAGAAAATCTTTGGAGGGAGTTGAATGTCCGTGTTGCCCAGCGACAGCCCCAAAACATCACTGCTCTAGAGGAGATCTGCATGGAGGAATGGGCCAAAATACCAGCAACAGTGTGTAA